CACTTTTATTTGAAAACTGTATTATTAAATTAGTAGTTTATACTTTGAGGGGACATTAGCCGTAATCTGAGAAATGTAAAGGCCAGTGTTGTTGCTTGTTTCTGCTTCTTGCTGTCAGAGAATATTAGTCATCCACCGCAGCAGTCATAACTACCAAAATATGTCCAGACCAAAGTTAATCAGCTATCCCATTGTTAACACATATCTAAACTTGTATAATTATTAATTCACATTTTAGAGCCAAAGGAAACACCTTCGTGGTTTGTATTTGGCTGGTGTTGATGTTGACGAGAATAGAAGCTTGTTATTTTATTTATTTATTTTTAATATGTGACATTTTCCCTTTTATGGCCCATGCTACTTTTTTAATAGTTTACTTTGGTCTTTAGTGCTGTTGTGCACATAAGTGTTCTGCCATTACCACGATGAATCTAGCACATATGTCTGCTCAGGAGGGTAGAGCTGTTGTGGTTTCTAAGGCATGCTCTCTATCTCTCTTTCCTTCTATCTTCCTCCCTGTTGCCCTCAAAAATAAACAGCCATGTTTCAAAATTTGCTGATTGCCATTATCATAATCTAGAGACTTATTGTGACAAACTGTGGTTGTCAGTCAGATTGCCAGAACTGCCAGGAAAGAAAACAAAAGGCCAGGTTTTGCTGTCCTTTACACCAGTGAGTTTGCACCAGTGTAAAAGAGAGCAGAATTTGGCCCTTGGGCTTTTGACAGCACAAAATTATAATGCACCTCATTTTGTTGAGCTGCAGCCCACCATGTGATAACATAAGAAAACCAAATCTAGTCAATCTGAGAAAGATAACAATAGTTAAGATATAATTAAGGTTCAGTTCCCCTTCAATGTGAATGGAAATATAAATATTTTGTACATTATTAATTGCCATTTTAAAAAATTTGTGCCAATTTTAAAGTACAAATTTGTCAAAATCCAACATTCCCAAATGTCATGTAAAACATTTAAAATAATAACATGGTATTGCCAGTTTTAAATTTCTAGCTGGGCATCATTACAGTAGACTCTCAGCCAATTAGCTATTTTCTAGTTAATGAGACTGACAGTATAGTCTTTGCCAATTGCCTTTGAAATTTCATAAAGATAATGATGGCTGTGTATCCTGAGGATAATGTATCTTATAATTCATTCAATTTCAGCCAGTATGAGCACTCTAGAAAGGAAGGCTGTAAGTTATATCAGCAATGTAAATTAGTTTAATTTTCATCTTATGAGAAAAAGATGCACATTTATGGATCTTGTCACTCTTGGTACCATCTCAAACAGCATATTAGCTTTCAAGCATCTGTACAGCAACTACATAACCTAAATAACAAAATGGTGTGTCCACTATGTAAATTTATTTTCCTGGGCGGTGAATTATAGATAATGACAAATAAAGATTAAGACATGTTTTTTATCATTGTTGTTTAGGTCAGACAAAGGTTTGTCCAAACATCTTATGTCAGGAATCCATTGAGCAAAGGCCAGCAAACTTACTGTTGGATCATTAGTGTTCTGTTATTCATTAATTTGAATTCTATTTTAGGAATACTTGTACTTGGTAATGCAGTAAACAAAATAATCTTATATATGAAATGTTGTTTTAATAAAGTGTGAATTGGAATCTGATCCAATGAAATATTTTAACACATGCCTGATTTTAAGCACATGCTAAAATGCTTTGCTGGATCAGTATAATGATTTCCAATGTTCTTGAATACTGCCTAAGGTTAAAATAAATTTTAAACTGGCAATTACAAAAAAAAATTTTAACTTTGAAGAGTTTAGCATAATTTATCTCTTAGATTAGGGAGGCCTTACAGACTGACTTCGCTTAAAGAGGATGTGTCACTTATTGTCAATGTGGTATGGACTTTATTTGCTTAAATACCTTCATTTGTATAGTATGTCTCACTTGAAATTGCTTTGTATACATTTTGTAAAAATATTTATAAAATGTTTTGTAAAAAAAGTATAACAAATTGCAGTTTATTTTGTTATGTTGGATAAATACTGTTAAAAGACACGAGTTGGTAAATATATTGTTAATCCATGGATAGGAAATGTTTAGTTGGAGATTACAGATTGAAACAACCATTGCAATACAGCCAAAGATTTGGGAAAAAAGTATATCTGTGATTGTCTTGATTTAACCAAGATGAATAAGTACATTTCCAAAAGGAGGGTTGTTTTCACTTTCAAGTAATATGGTTGCAGAACAGTCTGACTTACTATACTTTTTTATAACGCAACTGTATTATGAAATAATATATTTAATAGAACAGCTTTTTCATGCTGTGCATGTAATTTTTTGAAGATATGCTAATAAGCCACGGGTCATGTGGTAGCATAAAAACATTTAGTTTTAATCTCTTCTCTCAAAGTGCTCAAGTTGGCTGTGCCTTGTTACATTATCACAGAAATCTTGTCTTAAAGTGATAAGGTGGCTGAAAGAAGGAACAATATGGTATTAAGGACTAAATCATCTCTCCCGTGCTGGGGTGTGCTATACAGGGGAAAGGGTATCGGTAGCCCTTTCTCCTCCTCCAGTGCATCTTCACATGATAGAGGCATAAACTACCTCCTAGGACTAAGGAATGCAGGAGAGGGGAGTTGTCTGTACTAGTAGCCTTGGAGGGAGCATATCTTGGTGTAGCATGAGTGATGCCATGTCACCTCACTCTGCCCCTGGATGACTCAACCCTTCTCTCACAGCACACAGAAAACATGGTTTTCAGTCACATAATACCTCTTTCCACCTACGTGGTGTGCCTCCTTGACACTATGGTTGGGCCTGGCAGAAGATATAATTGAATCCTAAGGTCCTGGTCCAGCAAAATGCTTCGGCTTGGAGCCTGAATAAAGTAAACATTCATAGGAGGGCATAAAGACCAGGGCTTGATCCAGGGAGGGTAGTGAGTATTTTCAAATCACATGAATTGAAAATGTCATAGAATGTTAAGGTGGATATCAAAAGGAAATCAGATGGTAGAAATCTTCCTGATCTATATGATGATCTATTCTAATTTGTGACAACAAGGCAACGAATAAAGCCTAGTTACATGATGCTTTTCACCTGGAGTCATCCTGTAACAAAATGAAGATGACTTTATGACTTGGTTATATGTTGTTTGCATCCTTTTATAAAATAGTATTGGCTAAGCATTGTGTTCGGCAATAGAATCACCAAGAAAGCTTCCCAGACACCCAACGACTGTGAGGTATAGGTTACTACACAGCTGTCTTCACTTTAAAGTACCCTTTCACTGTGATCAGGATGAAATTGTGCTCTGTTTTTTCTGCAAGGATGAGAAAACTCTAGTAGACTTAAAAAATAGATACCTTAGGATTTTCGATCATGGTGTTTGGCATATAGATTCCAGCTTTGGTTTGGATGCAGAATTTCCAAAAACATTATCATCTTGTATATGTATGAATAAGTTATTTAAGGAAGACATAGGATCACAGCCATTTCTGAATTTCTAAAAAGAAAAGATTGCCAGAATAAACCTGGAGCACAGCAGGAGGCATGTAAGTGAACTTCAAATCCTCACAAAATCTGCCTTTCATCTTCCGAAAATATTTCCTCCTCTTTATAAATTTTGGTGTTTTTCCTTTGGAATGGTTGTCAGTCTTCCTTGCAGTTCTCAAACCGGGCCCTTTGTCAGAAAACAAAGGAACAGTTTTACAGGAAGCCATCAGCAAAATCATAGTAACAGGTTCTGTAGAAGAGCCCAACTTCAGCAACCACAAGGTATAATGTGCAAAAATCAACAAAGTCCAGCCTCTAAATAATATCCTTATATTTTAATTTTCTTTATTATTCTCTGATTTGTGAATCCACTATCATTTTTGTTTTCTTTGGTCCCCAAATTCTTGTGCTACAAACCATCTAGTCTTTATGCAACAAATCCATGCACTGAATTGAGACTAAAGGACTATGAAATTGCAGCAACAATTGTGCTAGCTAATTGGTTGTAAGGATGGCCACTGCGGAATGCAAACTCCAATTTTCAGTTGGCTCAAAAACTCTCTTTGCTGGGCTGGAGAGAAAGTTTTCTTATTAACCTGACTGATCCAATAATTTTCCTTTAATAATAATAATAAATAATTAATAAAACAACTATAAAATTTGAAGGGCACACTCATTGCCTTTTTCTGGAGCTAGTTTTTTTTCGCAATAAAACTTTATGCGTCATATGTCAAGTCTTCTCATTTGTTAAGCGTATGTTAAATCTTTCCATTTGGAAAAGAAATCTGCTTATTAGGTTCATATGTGTTGCATAGGTTGATGTAACCCTTTTACTTTTATCCTAACCCTTGTACCCTGGATGTAGTTTAGGTCAATATCATTACTCTTGCAGATTATTAGTCTGAATTGTGACATTCCTTTTGTGACATTCCACCATTCCTTTTGTTACTCAAATCTTTATGTGGCTAACAGAAGAGAGTGCACCATTTTTGGGCAGATCCTTAGCTAGTGTAAATTGTCACACCGTATAAGTCCATGGAACTATGACATTTTATATCAGTTGAGGATCAGTTCCTTTAAATTAAGCAAAGTCTGTACTTTGCCATCAGTGAAATCATATGCATATCACAAATCTTTCTGCTTGTGGGGAATGTTGGTTAGTAGTCAAATCAGCATGCCTATTTTTTATTTTAGGCTGGAATGCTGACACAGTGTATGACCCTAGGCAAATTACCATGGCCAGATTTTTG